TCCCTGCCTGAGGTGGCGGGCCAAGAAAGCCCCCAGCTTGCTTGGTGGCAGCCCGGGAAGGAGCAAGACCAAGCATCTTCTGGATGTTCTGCAAAAACAAGAACAGAAGAGCACGATAGCGTCAGACAATGACAAGGGAGACAGAGGAAGAAATCCCAACTCTGCTTATAAGCACAACCCTCCTACTTGTTTCAGTAGATTCAGGTTCTCACCTACACAGCCTTACCAGTCTGGCTATCCCTATACATTCAAAAAAACCTTAGCACAGAGCCAGACAACCATCCACAACAGCTATAATTAGAGCTGTGCCACTCTCCCCCACCTCAAAAAAAGCCTTCTAATCATTAAATCCACATTTTGGTTGAGGGTTCTTTTCCACATCCAACTACACACCTCACAGTCAGCTGGCAGGTACTTTGTTAATGTCTTTGCACACAGGGTGGTTTAAAAATCAACTGACCAGTTATTTTTGCAATTTAACTGCAACGCACACACAGGAGCAGGTTCCTAACGTCTGCTCACAGGCAGACGCAAAGCAGCCCTCACAAGCAGTTTTCACAAGTTCCAGAAACCACTGTTGGTGACCATCAGAGCCTGAGGGTCTGCAAGCTGGCGAGGAAGGCTCTCTCCTAATGCAGTTGGAATTTGGGTCAGCAACATGGCAACCAGAGTGCGTGCCAAGTTTAAGTCAGGAGCTTAGGCACAGAATTAACATGAATGCTAGTGATGCAGACAGAACAATGGTTCGGTGGAGACACGCAGTGCAACAGGACATATGTAGCAAAACCCAAAAACTGACTATTGAGATGACCTCAACTGCATCTGAGCATGGTGTTTCAATGGAAAACAACAAACAAGGAAAGAATTAAGCAGCAGAGCCAGACACGAGCTAAAAAACCCAGAGCAGAATATTTAAACTTAATGTTTTCCTTGATTTTTATGAAATTCCTTTTAAATTTTGCAACAATGCAACTACAAAAAGCTACCAGTTCTTAGTTTCATTCCTCACTGTAAATAACTACAGCTCAAGATGGTGCTTATGCAGTGCTGGCAGAACAGGGACATCTGATGCAAGGGAAAGAAGAAAACAACTGTCCCCTCCTCATGTCACCAGCTGAGTGCTGGCTATCAAGACAACAAAAGGAGGAAGGAGGATTCTCTTCAAACCTGAGTGTCCTCTCCAAAATAACTGTCAGGATGGGTCAGATAGCAAGGTCATAGAGTTCTTGAACTTTTTGATGATGGAAGGAGAACAAACTAAGAAAAAAAGGCAGACAGAGCTTCACAATTCCACAGTAGCTAAATTAAAAAAAAATTGGGAATCATTCCAGGCAGACACTATGGAAAGGAAGGTTTCAACGCACACCCAAGTATCAAAGTAAAGGACAGGAACACTTGAAAAGGAATTGCATCAGGTTTAGTCCACAGCCTACATAAATCAGCCACTGGTTGATATTCAGCAACTTAATATATATGAGAGCATTTAACTGTGGGAGACTGCTTCGTGTGGTTCCTTTTCTCAGAGCTTCCTTAGTCAAGAGATGGACAGAAAGGAGAAAACAAAAGCAGCGAAGGGACAGATTCAGCAACACCAGAGGGTGCTGCAGAGTCAGCAGCGGGCAGGACCAGCATCCTACCAGCTCTGTACTGGCTCACCCACACAGCAGAGCACCCATGGAAGCAAGGAAGTGCACACTGCCTCCTCCCTATCAAGAGAGAGGAGAACTGTGGTGCTGAAGTTAACTCCATCTGCTTGAACAGCTCCAAGAGGAAGAGAGATGACGGTTTGTCTGTATGTGGATTCAAGACTACAATCATTCTCCAGCATTATCCTTCCATAGTAGTCCCCTCCTTGCTGCGGAAAGCAGCTAGCCTCCTGTACTAACTGCAAAGCAAGTTTTGCTGGACAAGAATCCTGACGTCTACACAGCTGGAAACACCAGGGCTGGGGCAAGGTCTAGCAGAAACCTGTCCTGTCTGCTGTGGGCCATGTTGCATAAGAAAGTCTGTAGAGTCTACTTCCAACACAAACAAAACCATCACCTTCAGGAGCAGAGAGGAAGACTTTAAGTCTTAAGGATCCAAATTCCCCATCTGAGCTTTTCTGATCTTTCCTCAAATGACTGCAGGAAGGACAGGAGCTGCTTCTGCTTTTGTCTTCCAACCCAGAAGGAGCCTCAAAGGCAAGGCAGCAAGTGGCTCCCGGCCCCAAGATCATGCTGTGTGGGAAAGCATACTCCTGGCAGTAGGAATAATTGCTGGCTCCCCTTCCCACTGGGAACACATTTCAGAGAGAAGCAGTCTAATCTACAGTTCAGGCGTGTGTGAAAAGGAAGTGAAGATCAGCAAATGCCTGATGAACAGCAGCATATTCCTCTTCACAAACAGCACAGGTGAAGGCTGGGAGCTCAGAAACAGGAGGCAGGACAGAGGATGTAACCCTGACATTATGCCTCCCGCCCAGCCCAGCAGCAGACTTTCCCAGCTGAAACCCAACAGCTCAAGGACCCTTGGAAGGCCTCTCCCAGCAACCCTCCTCTCTCCAAACAGGAAGGCAGGAGGAACTAGGGGACAGGATTTACGTGCCAGGGAGAGCTGGGAACAGCGCAGAGGAAGTTACTCACTGCAAGTTGACTATTTTGGGAGATGCTGGCCAGGTCACAGGCAGCAAGCTTCCCAGTCGGTGTTTGAAGAGTTTATCACCCCCACATGCCTGAAGCTGCTACTGCCCACCCCATTAATGTCAGTTTAATCACCTCCCAGTTATGTCTCCCCACCCTCACATACTCCCCTGCATTTCCCTCCCAGGTCACTGTTTTTTCCACACACACACAAGTTCCTCTACTTCTGAGCTCCACAGGGACATCTCTCTTCCCTGCCTTTGATCCCTTCACAGGCAGCTCCAGCGTCTATGGGAAGACTGAAGAATATATGGTTTCCTTAGTCTGTTTGCAACCTGTTCCCTTACTTTTGGTACATCTCCACTCCTCCTCCTCTTGTATCAGCAGCATCAAGCCAGACACTAACTCCCGTATCAGTTTTCCTCCCTTGGGCTGACAGCTGTTTTGAAGCTGACCTGACCAGATTCCCCTTTTGCACACAGTGAAACACAAAGGGTCACAAAGCTTTCACCTCCAAGGTCATTGAAAGCACTGAAAGCAAGTCTTTGGCACCATTTTAAGACCTTAATTACTTTCTTCCCGTCTCCCCTGACCTCCCACAGCCCTTCAAAGTCCTCTTCCTAACGCTGTTATCACCTACGTTCTTTCAAATAGTAATAAAGCCAAGAGCAGGATGCCAGCAATCACAGCTTCAGCTTCTAGCTTTTGCACAAACTAATGTGGCTGGTCTCTGCCCTTCCCTCCATGTAGGAAGGAGGAAGAAACTGAGCTGCCTAACAGCTGGAGAACTGCAGGTATAGTTAACCACGATCATGCAGATAAGGCAGCACTATGAAGACTGCAATCTAGCACTTCAGAGCAAAACCAGCCTTGTCCAAAGCAATAAGGTAACTGCCATCCTCCTCAGGGCCATCAGCATGATCTCTCAAGCCCAAGTGCAATTTTCTTTCGGAACTGCTCTTGAAAGCCTAACCCACTGCAAACAGCTCAGCTTTTCTGCCCAGAACTAGACTGGACCACCACTCAGTTCATACCGTCTACTGATTTCACGACAAGAAACATCAGGAAATGCCCAAGACTAGAACTAACCACAGGAATTATATTTTTGGACAAAAAAAAAATCCATGGGGGATTTTTCAGCAAGGGAGTTCCCCAGTCAACCGAATGGGTGCAGAAAAATCTTGCCGATGCTGCTATTTAGTTTCATATAATAACCTGCAACATTGGAAAGAAGGGACTTTCCATTTAACAGGTGAGTAACACAAAGCAGCACTGGACAAGACTGCCTGAAGGAACAGCATCAGATCACAGCATCCTAGGAAATCAGGAAGATGATCCTAAGAGCTGAAAAGGTCTCATTTCTTTCAAAGCACAAACACTACTCCAGTTACTGGGAAGTGAAACAAGATTTGTCTTGCAGCAAATAGAATGAGGAAGCCCCTGCCTTGTGGTACTCTGAAGCTGGCCCTGCTTGGAGTGAGGAGTGGGCCAGATGACTTCAAGGTTACACTTTCAACACCAATTATTCTACAATCCATTATCTGCTTTCGCATAGGACCAGACACAGATCCATTTCCACACTACACCCAATACAGAAGGCTATGGAGAATTGATTCACTAGCATACAGTTTGTGACTAAAGGAACTCTCTATTATTAAGCTCATCCAGATTTCTGACAGCAGCTGGCATAACACATCACTTCCCTTTACTGATGTGCTTTAAGTCTTTAAGTCCCTTGGCACCCTTGGAGGAAAAGGAACAAGTTGGTCAAGGAGAAAAGCAGCAAGAGTTCAGTAAGTGAAATAAAGGAAAAGGAAATATAAATGCAGAAAAGCAGATAATTTGCATCTAGTTGCACCAGCATGCATCCAGCCCCCTGAGTCTATTAACTTATCCCCAGCATTCTCTGGGGAAATTTGGAGAATAAAGTAGACTCCTGGTTGCATGGAGAAGGCCTACTTGTCCTCACTGGCCATTCTGCCATCTAAGCTGCTAGTGAACCTTCCCGAACAGACACCTCCCTCACCCTCACTGATGCTTCTCTTTTGAAAAGATGGGACTAACCAGCTTTGCTGGAGAGTTATGTTTAGCCTAATCTTGGCTTATCACACCAGACTCCCTTTCTGTGACTAGTCCCTAACCCTGGGAAAAACTTGACACCAGAGGTAAAGTTCTGAAGACCCTGGAAAAAAAAAAAAAATAAATCAGGCAGTCAGCAAAAACAGGAAGGACCAACCCAAAAGAACAGGTTTAACTCTTTCCTCACTTTTTTAGCTACTGATAGAACCTTTATAGAACTTCAAGCCACCAAGGACTGATTGAACCTTTATAGAACCTCAAGCCACCAAGGAAGTTTCCCCTACACTTCTCATATTACTGTAAAAGTCACAATTACTAAGAAGCAGTACTTAGATTGGCTTCTGATAGAGACAATCTCTCCGTATGGCAATCCGCAAAGTTATCAGACATACACACAAGGAAGGAACCCATTTCTGCCAACTCTGTTCTGGTGTCCTGGTGCAAGTCTACGGTCAAGTCTTCCACACCAGGCCAGGATAGTGGCTGTTTTTATGATCCCAGCCTAGAATTGCTTTGAATATGAAGCATAGGAATGAAGGCAAACACAGAAACCACAAACAGATCAAAGATTATAGAAGCAAAACTGAACAGCAGTAACAGACTCCTCTTTATGGATGGAGATGCGCTTTTCCTGCTCCAGGCATGTAAGAGACACAGCAATGTACTCACTTGTCTGATTGACATCGTGCAGAGAATGTAGAGGAAGATGAACGAGCAGTCGGTGTAATCCTCACCCAGAAGGTTGCGGTGGGAGAGACCTTGGATGTACGAAAGAGGGATAAACGGAAGCTTTGCTACCACTCGGCCATCAAATCTGGAAGAGAGAGCACTGGATCACAACTGAGGACAGTAAGAGAGTCTTTGGCTGTAGAAAAAACAGGTGAGCATCTTCAACAGGTCATCAGAGCAAATAAGACACATGGAAGGCTAAAAAGCCATGCTGCCTTCTCGAGCCCACCTCTATATACACTACATCAAGGCAGCTGAATACACCTCTCGCAAAGCCCTCCACACCCAATCATCCACAGGGCAAGCAGGCTTCCCTCAGTAACAGTTTTGCCACAGTCAAAGTGTTTCATAGTGATTTAATTGATTACTTAATCAAGTGACAAGCTGTTGGTTCATAAAATCTTGGTTGGGGTTATGCAGTTTACCGATGTATTTTATTTAAAAGTAAAATTTAGCAAGTCACTTCCCAGAACACAGTCAGCACTTGACTAACAGATGGATGACTATCACCCTGCTGTATTGCAGTTACTGTAGGAAGATGGACTCTTTGCTTTAAGCAAAAGAATTATTTTTTTTTTTCAGGCAAAGCATAAACCAAAAGACACCTTTTCCTTTCTTAGAACAGTTATGCATCCTTCTTGTACTGAGAAGGATGAGAGCCATCAGAGTGCTTTAAAACCAACAGTCTTCTCTTCCTTAGCTCTGAAGACAAAGGCAGTGCAGAGGCAGGATGATATCGCATATTCCAAGCAGTTCGTTCTGCTCCTGGAACTCCTCCAGGTCCACATTCCAGAGCATCACGCAGAGTGTGAATTCTGGCCCGTTCGCAAAGATTTCTCCCAATCCAGACAGTCAACCCAATCTTTTGAAGTAAGTGTGTATGATGCCTCATCAGCATGTGCATATTTGGATGTTATTTTCTCTGCGTGTGCTGATTTTCTAACAGGTGTTTCTTGTTTCAAGAGATCCTAAATGAGCCTTCTTTCCTGTGGAGATGCATTCACACAGCTACAGCACAAACACATGCCAACTTTGTTTACATCTCACAGCCAGTTTGGCAAAAGAGCTAGGAACGGATGTTTATCTCCCTGTAACATCCCCCAGTGGCTTAAAATTCTGTTTGCTGTGAGAGTGACAAGTACTTCAGCAGTAGCATCCTGAGGTACCTGCTTTTAATTCCAGCAGGTTTTCACAGTTATGAAGGGGTACTGAAATGCTCAACTCCTAGAGTATGACAGAGAATTGACTGCATTAAAAAAAAGTTTCTGACGAGAAAGAATGAGACACACAGAAGCTAATTTCTCTCCCAGGAGAAATCCCATCTGCTTGAAGGCCACCACCGCTACAGATCTCTCTGCCCTAGCATACCTTTTAAGCCACAACAGTCATACAGCTGCTCATATTCAGCACAGCATTCTGCTCTTTGGGTTTAAACCAGCCTTCTTGACACATATCCTTCCAGCAGGATCCACCCTGCTGCCCCGTTACTACTGACACTCTAAGAAAGAGAGCCAGTCATCACAGTAATCTCCATTTTGGCTAAGCTGGCACTTGGCAAAGGTGACGTGCCCAGCCACAGAGTAGCAACGTCTGCATAGTACTTGTCCAAAGGGTAGCACATCATGCTACTTCCATGCAACTCCTGCTCCTTTTGTCCCCCAGAGCAATGAAATCATTAAAGAACAGGGAATGCAAGCAAATGAGGCTACAGCCACTGCAGGTGTCAGCCACCCTTTTCCTCCTCTTCATTTCACATCCACAGCACCTCCACAGATGACCTGGCAGCAGCAGCTTGCCAGACGGAGCCTAAGAGCCTCCCAAATTCATAACTGAAGTACTCTCCTCCTGAGACAAGCAGCTGCTCTTTATGCTATGTCAAGAGAATGACACTATGTAAGTGAGAACCAGCTCTATCAAACCATTTTATCAGTTTCAGACAGTGCAGATACAACCCACCAAAGCTGCCACTCAGGTACAAATGCACTAGCTACCTTGTACCAAGACCAGGAGCAAAAATTTAACTATCTAGCCCCAAGAGCCAGCCAGATCTTTAGGTTTTAATTTAATAGCCTCAGCTATTAGCAGGAAAGCCATTTCAATTTGAACAATCAGTGAGCTCTCTGGATACTCCTTCTGTTCATGTTCAGGTTCCTTCTAAAGAAAGAGACAGTTAGAAGAAAGGTATGCCCAAAATCTTCACGTCAGCTCTGTGTCTAGTAGCATGGTCTCTGTGGGCAGAAATCCTCAAAAAAGGAACAAGACAAATAAATTTGGTGGTCTTAAAGGAGAAGAAACCAATAAATGGATTATTTAGGTTAATATCTATGAAGGGAGGAGCCACATGGGATTTAGCCAAAATCAATTCCTTCCTAAAGCTCTTAAGGAACTTTTAGTCCTGTAACACTTGGCAGTCATAGCATACTCTGAACTGCCTCTTCCCACTCTAGGAAAAGCAGGCAGAGTAGGGTGGAGTTTTTTTAGTTTGTTTTTCAGTTTGTTTCAGGGGCAGAGGTGGTGGCAGTGTTTGTATTGCACCCAAATAGCTAAGCAAGCACTTGAAGGCCTCAGGTGCAGCACTATAAATCCCCCACAGATGCTATGTTGCTGGGCACATGACTCAATGCACCTCCATCCCTGCTCAGGGCTGCAATGAAATGAAACATCAATGACTCAAGACCGTACCCAAATTTTAAAGTCCTTTAGTGCTGTGTTCCTCTGCTGAGTTTCACAGCATTCCAGAGAATGCTAGATGCTGAAGTCTGACTAATCTGAATAAATAGTCTACACAGTGGCACTTCTGTTATTATGTTCCCCCCTGTTTGGAATTTATCCACCCACAGATCTGCAGTAAAATGACAATTGAGTGTATCCTGGGGACTGCCAGCACAAAGGCCAAAGGTTTTGGTGGTGAAGAACATAAGTTTCTGTTTGCAGGACAAGTATATTGCCCAGATATTAAGCAGCCTCCCAAAGGTTATATTAACCATATTCACATCATCTTCATGTTTAACAGCCAATGGGAAGTTCACGTTTCAAGACTGAATCAAGTTTTAAAAGTCCAAGTACAGGCTTTCAGTTTTGCATATCTGAAGCAAAGCTGTCTATAGCCACGCAACCAGTTTAGTTTTCCCCCCCACACACACACAACTAGACCCATCCTAGGTCATTTTTAAAGCAGAGGAAGATTAGAGCCCATGCCTGGACCTGTTGGTATCTTAACTCCGATCACCTTAAGTAGGGCAACAACGAACTCTGCAATTACAGCTCATTTCTAAGGGCAAGGGAGCTGACTTAGTTTGGCTTGTGAGAGTATTCTTTGGTCACACTATTACAGCAAAGCCAAAGCAGCTGAAGACTGTAGCCGTTTACCTGACATCTACCAAACTTGCCCTAATCAAGATGTTCCCACACAGAAAGGATGTTAAGAGTTGTGTCCAGATTGAATGCAATTTGTTCAATCTGATTGCACTCAGCATGCAGTGCTCCCTCTTGAGCAGGACGTGCATGATGACGAGACAACCACATCTTCATATGAAATATTGATCCATTTTATACAGATTACTTATGGTTCTTGGATGGACTCTGTCACTGTAACACTTCAAGTGATAGAGGGAAGGTGGTGAATATATTCATCATGAAAATTTAAGAAAAATCCAGAAAGGTGATACTTACATGGAGTTAAACATTCCCATCAAGGCAGTGAAGCAGAAGCCAATGGCAAACATGGATTTCATCCGAACCTGCAAGCAGAAAGGTCAGAGATAACCAAAATAGGCCTACACTGAGCAATTATGAGCTCACACCCTTAAGAATAGGCTTTATACAGCACCAATGAAATGTAGAAGGAAAAAAAGATGAGCCAGAAGGACAGAGGAATTGTAAAAGTGACTGGAGAACTCCCAAAGGGAAGTTTGGTCAACAGCTGGGTATAAAAGCAGCCACAGAGTGGACTACTGATTTGAAAAGCTGCTTCAGGGGGAAGAAAAAAAAAAAAAAGTGCTCAGGAATTGTTCAGTTACCTTCCACAGGTTGCTTCTTTTCCTTAAGACTATACAACCAATCAGCAGGGGATCATTACGAAGATAGAACACACAAGAGGAAGTCAGACAAATTAATTCTACTTTGAAAATATCATGGAGACTTATAAAGACGAAAATAGCTAAGGCTGGGTGTGAGATGAGGCAGTAACTGCTGGAGAACTCTGTGGCTCATACTAAAATCTGTAGCTATTAGAGATAATCCAGAAGGACCTTTCAGGAGGAAAAGCTGCTAAGTCTGACAATTAAACAAAGTCTTTCTGTTGGAAAGCTGATTGAGCTCTTCAGCAGCTGGGAACTGGCTTTGATTTTCTTACCATTGACAAATCCCTGTTGTTATTCTTCAGCTTCTCTTCTTGTCTCTCTGGAAAGAGAAAAAACAACAATGGTTATAATCAGTTATACCAACCTAGAAACCAGAGTGTTTTCATTTCCAGGAAGACTTAACCTTCTTGGCTCTCCAAACAAATAACGCTTCCAAAACCAACTCCAGCTGTCTATGCCCGACAGTAGAAAGTGAAAAACTGTGCGTAGCCAACTGCTTCTCCACCACAGCAACATGCAGCAAAGCAGGCGCAAAAGAGGAGGAGGCTAGAATCACACATTCAGCACTTTTGAAAGAAAGGCACAGAATGTCAAATTTGCTAGCTCAACCAACTAACACAGTAGCATGAACAATGTTGCCAGAAAACAGAGACAGTGCCTCTATATCACACTTCCGAAAGTGAGCAGTCTCAATTTACTGCACACCAGGTTCACCATTATAAATACATCATACAAGAAAGGATTTCATTTTGGTGGTGTCAGGAGGGACTCCCAAACTGCACACAGAGCCTGGAGCCGCACCTCAGCAATGCTAATATCCTGCTGGTCTTAGTAATAAATTCCAGACCCTTGTCACACCCAGAAGATTCTCTAAAGAGGAAAGTTACTTTCTACGTGAATTTCAGTAACGTGCGTATTACTATGCTTTGCAGAGAACACTTTAAAAATACTACTTCGGAAATTTAGTCTGTCCTTAAGTCACCACAAACTTCAAATTTGCCCTGCTTTCCAATGAGGGGCATGGAAAATGTCCTCTCAGAAGACTGCTCTGGCCTTGAACATTATCCATCACCTGCCACCTTTCTTGTCCCACATCCCCATCATCGCCTGTCCACTGTGCTCCTCTCAGACCAAGGATCCAGAGGGGCAGCCAGGGCTTGGAAGCAACACTTAGCTGAAGTAAGGATGTGTACGATGAAGAAATATCCAAAGAACAGTGTGAGTAAAGAGAGGGGGGATGCAGAAGGACTGTCAAGGTCTATCCAGCATGCAAGTTGTCAGCAGATCTCTGCTGAAGTTTCAGTACAAGAAGCCCACAGCACAGAAGCTCAACAGTTATCTTCCAAGCCTCTGCTAAATACAGGGACTCACAGTAAGCGTTATGAAAAGCAATAGCAACACCCCTATCCAATTTCTTAAAATCCTCATTGCCATTTTCAATTGCTCCTAACTACAAACCATCCACTCTGGCAGGAACTTTCCAGACACCTGCTTCCTGACTCAGGTGGAGAGTTTTGTTCTGGGACATTTCAGCAACCACAGGCCAGCTCTTCAAGAATCACATTTGGCACAAATACTTGTTTTTTCCCTCTGCTACATAACTAACCATCTATTTAGATGGGCTAAAGGTTACATAGGGATAAAGAATACAGCCCTGATCCCCCAATATATCTGACCTGTTTCTCATCCATTTCTACAAATTCAACACAGGCTCCGGGTGTCCTACCACCTTACATAAATGGTATACTCCTACCCATGTGATACATAAGCAGCCTTTAAGTACTTTGCTATACAGCTGGGTAGAGGACTGAGAAAGAGGACTAGGTCAACAAGCAGCACCTTGGAGTCCAAAATCTTCTTATGCTGCTGACCGGAACACAAACCATGAAGATGCAGGGATACAGCAATGATCTCATTTGCCAGCATTGGGGGTTTTTTTGTTTTTCCATTTGTTTTTGTTTCGTTGTCTACCCAGCACTGATGTGGACTCCTGGGAACATCACTGTCTTTTCTTCTAGGGGCACAAGGACACAGAAAGCAGTAGCAAAGTTTAAGCTAACAAACACACTCCTTAAACTGAAATGACAGAAGGTTGCCCCATGATATTAAAGGTGTCCTGCTCCAGGAGTGTGAAAGGTGATTTAGACACAATGTGACTGAAGTCGGTTCACCTTACACTTAAAAATTTTGATATAGGAAACCCCAAATTAAGCCCTCCCATGCAACTTTCACCCTACCTCCTTGTGCATATGCATGATTCATCCCTTACGCAACCAAGTAATACCATACACACCCCTCCTGCCTTATTCTGTGCCCAGAACAGATGGCAACTGAGGCAGGTCTGCACCATGGCTGTGTCTTACTGTAAAGTCTTTTTTTTTTAAAAAAAACTAGAATGGTAGAATTTAAAGGAACTTCAGCACAAGTAAATTTGCTGTTACAACAAATGGATGTGCTATGCCTTGCAGAACGTGACATCCAGTAAGTTACTGGGATCAGAGATTTCAAAAACAGCTAACAGCTGTGAGTCATTTTCTGGATGTCCAGCTTGACATTTAGAGCCTGATTTTTCAGAAACACTAAGAATTCAGCTTCGCCTGAAAACAAACGAGACACTGAAGTTATACAGCACTTGCAAAAAAATATTCGTCTCAGTATCTTAGGCTTGGCCAGCAAGCACCACAGCAAACAAAATCAGTGGTCATTTCCTAAGCTCTCTTCTTAGTCCCTTTGTGCTTTGTTTTTCATTTGCAAAACAAGATTATTTCAGTGTATAAAAAAATTGTGGAGCATCTGAATTCCTTAGATTCTACTGTTTATTAGTTTAGTCCAAGCACAAGTAAAATATTCTCTGCTAGGAACACAGCTTGGATGGTGCCCTGCAAACAAAAAGTCACTATCACACATTCAAAAATGACCATATGTAACTACAGCATGTAACACTAAAAAGTTGCTTATCCATCAAGTAGTACTCACCACATGCAGGCATTATTCAAGATTAAGAACTGAAAATGCATAAGAGGAAGAATTTTGGCTCCTGACCCTTCAGGAATCTAACGATAACAGGTTTTATACCTAGGAAGAACTGTTTGAAGATATGTTTATAACTATTCCCAAGCTTTGTACAGATCAAATGACTAATCCAGCTACCTGGTGTTACAGAGGAATGAGGAAACCAACTCCCAGGAGCTCTCAGAAGTGTTCCTGCCACGATTTATATAATAATTTAACTGAGCTTTGCTGCACGTTTTTCTTTAGAGCCCTGCAGACAACAGAATTTTCTAAAGCTCACGTCCATTAAACATCTACCACGTTGTTCTTGCATATTCAGTACTTTAAGAAGTTACCTTTACCCAGAAAGACTTAAGCTTATTGACAATGAAAAAGAATGGAAAAATAACATCACTACCCAAAATTGAGCAAAATTAATTTATCAAACTTTAAATAAATCTAAATGCAGTTACAGTTAACATGCAAACACCTTCAGCTCTGAAGTGTTCAAATGAGGGAAAAAAAATGAAAGATCCAAAAACCCACAAATATACAGACACACAGCTGTTGCAAGCTGACAGTGCATTGCAGCAAAGAGCTTTGACGACAGAAGTTAATAACAATCAGAGTCATGGATATAAAGGCTCAAACTGGAGAGAAAGGCAATCAGTTCAGCAAGAAGCACTGCTCCTCTCACTGATGCTGCCCTTCTCTGCATTTGACTAAAACCATCAGGAGGCTAGATGTCTCCTGCCTTGGAAGAGTAAGGCAGAAGTGTTCATATTCCAGTCATCAGGCCAAGAATGAGCTCCAGTATCACTTTAAAGAAATAGTTTTGAAAGGAAGGAAAGGATAATCACTTCCGTAAGTTTCTCAACTTTCACCCATTCTTGGGGCACCGCACTACTCTCCCAGTCTTACCTATTTTCTTTTTCTGCTGTCGGCCTGCTGATTCCGTTATTGTTTCCTTCTTCTTTTCCACTGCCAAGTGAAAAGAAAGATATTCCATCATTTCTGCATAGGGATATCACCACACCTTTTCCACATACCAAAGCGTTTTATTCCTTTAGAGAACAGGGACACAAAACGAAGCTAGGTATGACTAAGAACATGTTCAGAATCAACAAGGTATAAACCACCGAGGCTGACTCCACCAAGCACTTAAAAATAATTAAATAAAAAATTCAAAACCCTGGATGAGATATCAGAATATCTAAAGGGTTAATTTTAAACTCTGTCAAGAGCCCATTACATTGTTAACTGAGCAGTCTGGGGACAATTTTGGCTCAAGTGACCCTTGCTGATTTGTCATTAGTACTAGACAGTACTTTTGATTCAGCAAGTGTAATGAAAAGAGCTTTGTGGCAAACTCTACTCCCGATTATCTGCAGTGGGAAGCAGAATACAGGAAAGGCTGTGTTCTCGTACATCCCTTCTTCACAGGCAGGCATTCTCAGTGGAAATGCTGTCCAAGCAGTCGGCTACAGCCTCTCCATTCTTCAATTAATTAGTACTGAAGCATTTCCAATATTTTAAAGTAGGAGCCTGAGCTCAAAGTTACTAACGCCCCAAATTAGACACTCACCAAGCATCTGCAAAAAACTACCACCACTGCAGCAAAAAAGGCTAACATAAAGCCAGCACAGTGAACTTATAACACAGTAAATGGGCTGCTCTTCTGCTAACACTCTTCTGCTGACAGCAAAGAGAGCTTTCTCAGGAACTAAGAGATATTTTAATTTAAGACCTATAACAAGAGCAATACAAGAAGTGAGGATGATAACGCATGACTATGGTTTAACAACAGATAGCAGCCCTTTTTTACTCTAAACTCTATGTATCTGTGTGATATCTATTCTACCAATGAACATACTTGGCTCCTTGTTAGCTCACAGAATCAGCTTAGGGACCTGAGCATTAGGACTCTTCTCCCATATGAAGTAATAGCTCAGCACAGATCTTCTAACCTCGATTTCAAAGCATCGGTGAAATAAAGACAGCCAGCTTTCCAAGTCACACAAGGATTTATAGTTCTGCCTTCCGAAATGCCTGCGATATGTGAGTCAGTCACAACGGCTAAGAAAACCATGCTAGTCCAGACAAGATACCTAAATATCATCTCTTCTATAGTAATGTGGTAAGACACAATTGTTTTTTCCAAAGAACAAGCGTATCTCTGATTGGCAGGCTAGCACAAGAGCAAAAACCAGGGAAATCTGCTCAGAGGGAATGCTGGAGAGAGGTGCCAGATGACACAACACACACAGTGCTCACAGAACGCTCTCTCCATAACCTTCCTTATGCCAAATCCAGCTGAGGGATCCCGATCAGTCCATCCCAACCCTAGTCCCTATAATCCCAAGACTCCCAACTCTAAACCCAACTGGAGAACACTTTGACTCTTTTCAGGCCTACCTATTGCTCCCAGCTCTAATAAGAGGGCTCCTCTAGACCCCAGATTCACTCTAGACAGTGCTATTAAGCCTTAAGCCAACCCTGGGGAATTTCATAGCCCTAATTCCCTTATGGTTTCAGCAGAACAAATTAACTGTCAGGCAGTCTCCCAAGCCTGCCCCTGGGAACATACATGACAACACAGCAGCAATTCTAGAGATAGCCTTCAACCTTGCAAATTTACGACTACATTTACCCCACAACACTTACTATAATCTCTGCAGCAGTCTCAGACAATACTGTGCCTCTCCATAGAAAGGAGGGGACAGGAAGAGATGAAACTAAGGACTGTGAGTATCACTGTCTGCTCAAGTACACTACTTGGCCCATTTGTTTTTGCAAATCCAAAGGATTGCTAGGATTCTCATGGGACAGCTTAAAGATCTCAAATGTGTTTTTTCCTGTTTCAGATCTGCTAGATAACAGTTGAAAGGTGTGGCTCAAGGGGTCTACTTTGCAAGTTGTCTGTAAGCCATCAGGTCAGCCAGCTGTCCTTAGCACAGGATAAAAAAAAAAAGCAGAGCTGAATTTTTAGTGACTCCTTATTTGGTTTTCCTTTTTTTTGTTGGGGGTGAGGAAATCAAACAAGGAGGTTAGAAACTAATTGAGATGCATGAACCTCACATCTTGCCCTTCACAGATTATAGCCTACATACCAGGAGAGCTATAAAAACAAACAGCATTAAATTCTTACAGCAGTCATTAAGCCCCAGAGATTATGCTTTCAGAGTTCCACAGCACAAACACACTAGGACATTAACTCCAAGTTTTCAGCTAGGTTTCAACTACTTCTCTAACTTGCTCTTGTGGGGCTAGTTCTACCCTACACATTTTTGTCAGCCAAGCGGGATTAAAGTGAGGCAGGCAGAGATGCAATCCCCATCTGATACTGCTGTGATGACAAAAGCCTCTAATTTAGGAGCTGTGACACAAGCATGATTATACTTCAACTCTTCAGTTTATTTTGCCCAGGGGAAGGTTGGAATAAGCTAGATTGGAAAGGGCATGCTTTGATAATATTGCTCTCTCGTGCACTACGAGTACTGACATCATGGTGAAATATTTTTAAGGTAAAACCAGCCCAGGTTTGGCCTCAGTTGCTGCGCGCTGTCTCTTACTGCTGCAAGTTGTGCAGGGTACATACGGTTGAGTTCGAAAGGTCAGCTGAATTCCTCCTCTGCTCCTTGACTTCTGCAACAGGCAGGTCCATTGAAACACTCCATGCTCAGACCGTCCTGTTTACTATTCCTCTTAACATCCGATGCATATCTACTGACTGCTCACCCTCAACTCCCTTTTCCCTTCCTCTCTCATCCTTTGTTCAACCCCTCCCAGGCCTCTCACATCTCCTCTCTACAGAAGTAACCTGGGACTTTTTTTCCTAATCAATTCTATTTGTTTCCAGTTTACACTAGTATAATTTATTTTTATAGGAGCTGATAGCTCAGACCTTTCTATGTCTTTATTCATCCCTCACCAGTAATCATCACTTTTAATCTTTACATATAATGCTTTCCTCTCTTGGTACTCATTATTCAACCCTAGCTCTTTCTTACTACAGATCTCAAATCCTCCACTGCCCTTGAAAAGCAGAAACTGTATCTTATAATTTATGTCAGGCATCTAAGGGAATCTACATATACAGACATTGGCTACTCATGCTCAGAAAAAAAGATGCCAATAGTGATCTCTTATTCCCTCTTGTCCTCCATTAAGAGGAGGGGCAATTCAGACAATGCAACAGGCCTTTGTACTAACCTTCCCTCCAGCAAAAGACAAGAAATAAGGGTAGAAATAAGTCTCCTCAGTACAGATTTATGTAACTTGTAAAATCAGGCTCTGACGAAATCCAAACTGAAGAAAGTTTTCTCCCTTGAATTTCTCAGAGCATAGACTCTATTCATTTTGACATCTGCTAAAGAATGATGTAACAGGAACAGCAAGACATGTTCTCTAATGTCTGAAGAATACTTACATTTCTTGCTCTGTTTTTCCACTTCAGCCTTTAATCTCTTGTATTTGTCTGTTCGGTATACCAGCACCCAAGTTATACCTGAAACAAATACTCGGCAAGTAACTAGATAAGTAAATACCTCTTGCAATAATAGAGATACAAGTTAGCAAATACATATGCAAAAAATACACATCACGTCTACAAAGCCTCATTATAATACGGCAAAGGTACCACAAAGCACCAGCAAGGTGTATCATCACTTTCCTTCCCAAGTTCCATGTAGCAATGGTGCCTATAAAATAATCATCTCTAGAAGTTACCAGCTATCTTACTGAGTACTGCTGTTTTGCTGGACTCATTCAGTTCCTTCATACTGATATTTACCACCTGTTGCTCACCTTAAAACCAGGAGCTGATTAAGGCAATAAACATCTCCATGTTATGCACAGCACCTAATTAAAGCCTGAGGAATAATTCCCGCTCCAACCAGGACATGCCCATTAGTAGTATCACATTTTGAAAAGCCAAATAGAGATATTAGGCTAGAAGAGACCTCAAGAGATTCTCCAGTTTAAATCCTTGCACTCACACATGATCAAAACCAGTTGTGCCACAAGCGCAGAATCAGTGGTTTGTGAACAGTTTAATTTGAGGTCCAACAAAAAGCTTTTGGCTTTTTTTTTTTTTGGCTTTAGTTTGACAGCAGGGCTGTGCTGCTGTGTCCCAGGGATCACCAGCTGCAGAGAAGGGAACCCTGTAGACGCTTCTGAGGTCAACATAGCTTTGTGCTGTGAAAGGCAACGGCTGTGTGCACCACCTAACCCCAAAGGCAATGCAGCAGGGCCCCTAAAAAGCATGGATCATATTCCACCTGGGACTCCCCTTGCCTTCAAATTCCCAAAGATGGTGTCTGGCAGCTCTGGGATTAAGGAAATTTGGGGATATAGCTCAGTGCCAGGAAGAGAAAGCAGCCTCTGCCTTTGACTACCCCAAAAGGTATCTATCCAACCTATCCTTAAAAAGCTGCACCTATTTCAACACTCTACCATTTAAAAAGCCTTTTCAAGCAGTCTAAGTCACCATCATGACAAGCGAGGGCAATTTCTTCACATCCTTCCTACAATAGCTACAGAAAACCACTAGTGTTCCGTTTCAGGCACACTGAGAACTGTTAGCTCATCCTCCCATAGTCTTCCTCCTTCTAGAGGAAACAAACCCAATCCCCACCGCTTTGTATCATAGCTCAGTTTTGTCAAGAGTTATGCACTGCTGCTCTCTGGGGTACCTATACCGGCCTCCCAAGCACGAGGCCTCAGGTGGCCCTAAGTAACTGAACCTCGTTTCACACCCTCACTGCCCTACTCTTCCTCCGACACACGCTCTCCCTTCCATTCCGCCTACCCTCCCTAAAGACCCCAATCCCGCCCTTTAACCTGCTCCCTCCCAGCGCTCAGAGGCGACGCGGCACGGGCGAGGAGCAGCA